CACACACCAACACAGCATTGTGAATTGATATACGTGCCTTTTTGGTTTCACTGTAGTAGACTAATACATTCAATAATAAAAGGCCGTTCATTTTATAAATTACGTATAAAATGTAAATAAGTTATGATATTATATTCATTTTACATATAAGTTGTACTATTTTTTATTCTTATTTATATAATATTATTATATAAAATATTAGTTTTCTAGACTAATTGGACTGTATAAATATATTTATAAAAAACCGGCCAAGTGCGAGTCGGACTCGCGCACCGAGGGTTCCGAACAAATCCGTAGGTATATAGGTTTAAAATTATTGAGAATATTTTTATTATATGATGTAAACACGAGAGGGACGAGCGTTGTCATTTTTTATATGATTAGTGTGACAAATGACCACACAGTCTACCTGATGGTAAGTGGTTGCTATGGCCTATTGACATACATTACATATATCCTCGATTACGAATCAAAATGCAGATACGTTGTCAACCGTGAGAACTAAGATGGAATGCCTCGTTTCCAGTAAAAGGTTTCTCTACACTCACCATACAAAACACAGCAGCATTAAGCTGCTATTTTACGCTAGTATTCTGTGAGAACGTGGTCCTTCCCCGCTCGAGCCGACTCATTCATGCTACAACTATACCAGTAATATAGTTGCAGCATGGCTCTACCATGTATGACTTTATGAGACGAGTCCTATCCAACTTAACGTTTAAGTTTAGTGTGCCTCTCAAAGAGTTTATAGACATGGTTATTTATAAAAAAAACTCTGGATATATAGATCTTTTTACATACTGATAGTCAACATTTTGCAATTGCGTCTTACGGTGTTAAAGGGATGTACCCAGTAACAATGATAGAGCAACAACGGAATTGCAATCAGAAAATCGTCGTCATTATTCGTTTGCAGAATGTCTAGACTCAATTGCTGGCGTCTCTCAAATGAGCTTTGTTATTCCGAAGGGAAATAAACGTATGTGTGTGATGTATTTCCAGAATCCCGAATTAGAATTCCAAAACGGAACTTCGTATGTACGTGGTCGGCCTTACTTACTAAAACAGCACTATTTTTTCTTTATATTTTTATCATGTACTGTTACTAATAAAAAGCACATACACAGGTTTCGGTAAAATTAAATGCGTCCACTATTAAACTGCCATTCAATGTACAATTTCAAAGAGTTCATAAGCGGAATTATGTATATCATAAATAATGTATGTATATATATATATATATATATATATATATATATATATATATATATTAAAGTAATATAGGAATAAATTTAAAGTAAATATATAAATCCCCAATATAAATTGCCAGTGCTCGTCGAAATGAAAATAGCATATCATAGAAAAAATAGTCTCATAAACTTAAAAACTAATTTGGTAAACGTGTATACGTCCACCAACTTACTACAAAACATTAGGAGTTATAAAAAAAAACATTTGTTGACCATAAAAATGTCTTTTCTGAGCGGAAACCAAACCTCGACATATAAAGTCAAAAAACCGGCAACCGGCAACTCGTGTCCAAGGTGAAGAAAGAGAAAAAACAACTGGCGTTCCTCTAATCCTTAAATCCAGGGAGAAAAAAAAAGTTATAGCGATAGTTTTAATATTTTAGAAAAAATAAGTACATAGAGTACTTATACTCAAGTGATATGGAATATCAAAGAAAACATATTAGTTTAAGTTATTTTTACGTAGTACCTATAATGACAAAAATGTCCGGATCTATTGCTGTAAGGCTTCTCGTAATTACTTCTCGTACTTAATGTAGCAATTCTCTCTCTCTGTTCTCTCGTACATAATATATAAACATACAGCCCCTAGTCAACAATGATCGTGAAATGTATTCTAAATGACTGCATATCTTTAACACTGTATTTGTCCTTGTTTCTTAGAGATAGTTTTCAAAAAAGTCGATTTAGGTTTAATAAAAGTTATCATAAAATGTATACGCCAAAATAATTCTTTAGGTCTGTACTTTCTGGCAATTAAATTGTTCTAGATAAAATTTCAGTCGATAAATACTGAAATAACAAATAATTCGAGGAAGATTGGGTTCTCAGGAGCTAGCATAGTTTGTGAAAGCGTATATTGTGGTTTTACATCAACGTTCGAATCGGAAATAACTGGAAATATACTATAATTATTTATTTCACGAGTAAGTTGTTTACATAATAGTTCCGAACAGTTTTCACTATTCACTCCAAGGACACTCGGGCGACAAATAGTGGAAGATATCGTTTTTCCCTTCGCTTCTTTATATTAACTAGTGACCGACCGAAGATTCGGTTTCGGTTTCAGTTTTATATTGTACAACACTTGTATTGGATCGCTGGGCTTCTCGCACCACAATATCAGCTGATATCAACGGTCATCACGATGGACCACTGATTATCGAAACATCATCCGAATGTCGGCCACAAAAACCACTTGGTGCTGACGGAAGTGGGTCAAAATGTCGGATATGTCATTGATTAATTTAGGACCAGAGTGGAGACACTGGTTCAGGGACACACCATTTGACGAGTGGGCGGAGCCGTCAAAAACTACCCGAATCTTACTCCCAGGGGTCCTCAAGACCGCATGGTGAGAGAGGAAGTAGTGCTCCTGTGAACGCCATTCGAAGTTGGACGGTGACATGTGACCCAGCTCTTGATACTCGCGCATGAACTCGACATATTTGTCGCGAAAGGCTGGGTCGCGCCGCATGCGGCGCTCCATGGAAAGCAACCTCTTCTCGGACAGTGCACGATATTGTCCCAAAGTGGGCCATGAGTCCAGAAAGGGTAAGCGAGTGACAAAACGACCGTCGACGCGACGGCCGGTATTGTTCTGGTAGAACAACTCGCACTCACGGTCCAGAGGGTTGACTCGAGCCGCCTGTGGTGGCTCCTCAATTTCCCAAAACCTCTGGACGACTTCCGAAAGGGACTCGCCCACAACAGAGAGCGTGTCGGCCGTTTGAGGAGGTGGAGACCACAGAACCGGTCCAAAGAGGCTGTGCCCAAATACAGTGGACATGGCTGACAAGCCACAGGGCTGTAGGGCTCGTATCTCGCCTAACAAGATCAACCCCAGCGCGTCGGCCCCCAGCAACAAATCTATAGGCCCAGGTTGGGACCATTGAGGGTCTGCCGGTCTCAAACCCGCAAACGAACCGCGCTGTCATTTATACGGATGTTAGGGAGAAAAGAATGTCATCGAGGACATTTACCTTAGTTAGAATGTGAAGGTGTTCGCTGGTAGGGCCAAACACCAACTCCGCTTGTCCCCTAGGAGCAGGAGACTCGGCACCTCCGATACCTACCATTGGACGTGATTCAGAGCTCCAGGGGAGCCCTAGTCTTCCCAACAACCAAGTTGAGGACACACTGCGTTGTGAACCCGAATCCAATACAGCGCGAACCGTTAAACAGTGGCCACTCGGATTGTACACCTTCACTGAGGCCGTCGGCAATAGAACAGTTTGACAGGTGGACTGCTGATGGCTCAAAGGCTCAGTGGAGGCGGCCGTGATGGAAGCTAGGGCGGCAGCCTCCTATCTGGAGCTGCCTCTGTCGGACCGGCACCCGAACCGGGGGCCCCGAGAGCGGCACTCCGACGGCATCTCGATGACCCGCGGCTGGAATTCCCCGAACGGGCCGACCTGGGGAGATTTGGGGAACCGAGGCCCTGAGGCCCGGTACAGATACGAGGTCTCAGGATCCCGGTAGTAGCGGCACCGGCCAAAGGGGGGAGGGCGGCGTTCCAGCCGCGGCCACTCAGCCAACGGGGGTGAGAACGGTCTAGCTGACCGCTGAGTGGCCGCGAAGTCCCTTTCAACACGCTGACGGGGTGCGACGACCCCCCCCCCCCCTCCCGCCCCTGGGGGAACGACTCCCCGACCGGTCGGGGGAGGGAACCCCCTCAGAACGAGGGGCACAGTGTAGTGGTGTTGGGAGTAGCGGTGCTGGGATTAGTGGTGACGGGGATAGTGCACCCAATTGAGGGAGGGCGGGAGGTGCTTCTTCATACTAGGTAAGACACATTATTTTATTTTATAACGCGGATATTTGCGAAGTAAATTTTTGTAAAAGCTTTTAAACAAAAATGATGTCTGGTGGAAAGAAACGAAAAGTTAATGCAGAGGGTCGCCAGTTTCAAGAAAATGGACTGAAGAATTTTTTTTTATCTTTCACAATGGTAAGCCTATTTGTTTGCTGTATAATGAATCCATTTCAGTAATGAAATAATTCAATATAAAATGGCATTACTCAACTAAGCATGCTACGCTGCACTCACTGACAGGACAATTAAGAACAGAAAAGATCCAGAAGCTTACCGCAAATTTGGAAAAACAACAACAAATATTTCATAAATAAAGAACACAACTTGATAATGTTGTGAAAACTAGTTTTATACTTAGCTCAAAATTGGCAAAGGCATTAAAACCATTTGCCGAAGGAGAATTTATCAAGGAGTGTATGTTAAAAGTTTGCGGTATTTTGTGTCCTGAAAAGATAAATGAATTTGAAAAAAATAGTTTGTCAAGACGAACCGTTGTTCGACGTATAAAAATGATGGCTAATGATATAAAAACAACATTGAATGACCGTATGGCTGGTTTTGAATCATTTTCCATAGCATTAGACGAGAGCACCGATTTGTCTGACACAGCTCAACTGGCTATATTTATTTGAGGTGTTGACAAGAAGTTCACTGTTACTGAGGAATTGCTTGCTGTACAGCCGCTAAAAGAAACCACTACAGGAGAGGATATTTTTATTGAAGTTCAAAAGGTATTCACAAGTTTTGGCTTGCCGTGGCCAAAATTAATTAGATTATGTACTGATGGTGCACCTTCTATGGTCGGCCTTTGTTTCATCAGAATTTTGAACGAAAAAGCAACAGAATTAAATGTACAAAAAGATGATTTGATAGTCCTTCATTGCATTATCCACCAACAGAACTTGTGTTCTAAGTCCATTCGACTCTAGAATGTTATGAATGTGGTAGTAAAAACCGTCAACTTTATTCGATCCCGAGGGCTTAACCATCGTCAGTTCAAGGAGTTTTTGGATGAAATATCAGCTGAAAATAACGACGTAACATATTATTGTGAAGTCAGATGGCTGAGCAAAAGAAAAATGTTGAAACTGTTTTACGAGTTTAGAAATGAGATAGCAGACTTTATGAAAATAAAAGATAAACCGCTATCTGAATTAAGTGACCCAAAATGGATATGTGACTTAGCATTTCTGGTCGATCTCACAGGCTATTTGAATGATTTAAATTTGAAATTTCAAAAACAAGAACAGTTAGTAAATGATTTGTACAGCCATTTGAAAGCGTTTCAGATCAAACTACGCTTGTGGGAGTCACAGATGCTGTCTGGTAACAGTTACCATTTCAACACGCTCTCTGCGTATGAAAATATTGCTTATGCTCAATATGCTGAAGAACTCGAAAGTTACTGTCGGAACAATTTTCCAACAGATTTAACGACTTCAAAAACATGGAAGACTGTTTCAGTTTATTTGCTACTCCTACAAAATATAATGTACAAAATGCTCCAATACAAATGGAGTTGATCGAGATTCAAGAAAACTCACTCCTCGGAAAATCCAAATTTGAAGACGTAGAGTTGTGCGATTTCTACAAAAAATACCTAGAAAAAGACAATTTCCGTAGCTTTGAAAATTCGCAAGAAGATTGATTTGTGCGTTTGGCAGTACTTATAAATGCGAACAGTTCTTTTCATTAATAAAAGTTAATAAATCAACACATCGTACAAGACTGACTGACGATAATTTGGAAAATTCTTTACATCTTTTTATCAGTGGAATTAATCCAAATATCGATGGATTCTGGAATGGATTTTTCGTAGTTTGTAACAATTGCAAATTTAACGATTTAATTATAATGTACCATTTTATTAAATTTAATTTTGTTATTTTAATAAATTGTCATATAATAACATTGTCGTATTATTTCATATCTAATATCTATCGCAAAATATATTATCACTACTTTAAAATGCACTAAGTACTTGTAGACGCGGCCTGCGAACGTATTTGCACGCTAAAGTTTGGCCCTCAACATGTCAAAGGTTGCCCATACCTGGTTTATTGTATAACAATTTGTAAGGACAGGACCCTCGGGACTTACCCATAATATTTTAACATCAAATATCAAAATGTGCCATTTACTATTGCCGGTCATATTAAATTTCTAAAATAATAAGAATCAAGCTTATTACATAATATTATTACAGTGTAAGCTATAAAATTATATTAAAAAAAAAAACTAATACTAGAAACTTAATTATCATATAGTCCTACTCCCCGCGGTATCGTGCCAAGAATGCTGGCTGCTTTTTCCCGGTGAATGGCTATACTTAGCCTATAAATAATTTCACCATTTGTCTTTCAAAATTTGATAGTTGAAGAAATTTAGTAAAATATTTTTTTGTGTATTATTAGGGTGAGAAACAAGTTCACTCGTGCTACAGCCCTAATAAACTGTAGCGTTTTCTTACGTATGTAGGTTAATTTGTGATTCTTCTTTCAGCGCCGATAGCTAACAAATCTATCATAAGTTACCAAATCTAATGTAATGGCGGGGTCCGTCTAGGATATGATCACAAACTGCAGACTTCCTGGAACGTTGATGTTTCACGTCAGCTATGTGTGTGTGACCGAGTGAAACTGACCAAAGTCGTATGCCTGCCTCACTACCATATGTCAGAGGTGTCATAGACAAGATTGGCTACATCTTGAAGCGAGCTTCTATTAGAACATTCTTCAAGCCGCCGAAGAAGATTAGTCAGTTCTTACCATCCATCAAGTGCAATATTCCTCTACAAGATGCAGAAGTGTTTGTACACAAGAGGAGTGTACAATCAAACACAAACTTGACTGTACACATGTATTTAGTCATTTATATTATAGTGTGTTGACTGCCGCAAGCCAGCATCTTGTAGAGGACACTTGGATCCATAATCATGATCCAAAGGTTTTTCACTATCGACGTTTTAAAAGATCTTCTACCAAGAGACAATAAATAAGTAGAGCTCTAAACTCACCGAAATTTGGAACTTTTGCTTACGAAACATCTTGATTATTACTATATAATTAACTAATTATATAGTAATAGTACTAGATAGTTAAATAATAATAATACTAATAAAATATTTTATTCAACAAATTGCAGCCTGAAAGAGAGAAAAGCCGTATTCATTTAAAGCACACTCGCCCCAAGACCTGGTCGCCTTACGTAAGTTAATCGAAGCGGGACTGGGGAGCACAGTCCGGGATAGGATATAGGACAATCCGCGATACCTCGTCAGCAGTGGTTACACACCGTCTATTATGAAGGTTTGTAATGAGCTTTAATGTTTTCCAGGTCGATTTCAACCCAGCGATCAATTCCCAATTCTCTCGGAATATTACAGTACATATGTCGCAGCAAGATAGTTAAGGCCGTAATATAGTTATGTCCTTAGGGATATAGCTATATAATATAGTTGTATGAAAGCGTTTCATAACTATCTTACTAGAATATTTGACCACCATCCCACTTTCTAGTAAGATTGTGATTTTGATTGTGTTACAGTGTAGTAGAAGGTGGAAAGCGGATATAAAGATCATAATATCTCATGTACTTTTTCTTTAAAGTTGCCTATTTACTTTGGTATTAAATATACCCGTCTGTCATAAAGACTGTCCGAAAAAAACTGGCGATGAAAAAACTGACGCTTCATAATGTAACCAGTAGAACACTAAAAGACTAGGTACTTAGCAATTTAGTACAGTAGTAGGTACTTCATACACGACTTGTGCTCGAGAAATATTAAAGGGCTATTCCTGTGTAAATCTCCTTGTTGAGCATGCCAAGTTTCTGTGATGTCAGCTTAATTTCGGCAAAATGTATGAATGTAGCCCTGGGTATTGTTGGTAATTAATTCATTGGGCCGAAATTAAACTCAACGAAGTACCTACTGAAAAATGGTTTTCACTGTGTATTATGTACTGTAATCTATATTAAATAAAAATAATTCCATTCTATTCTATTCTACTGCTGTCATCTCTCGATTGATAGTTGATACAGCCGACTATTAGCTATTTTGGACTCATTGGAAAGACGTGTGAAGAGAATTGTTGGCGATGCTTCTTTTTTGGTAAACGGCTATTTATTTTATAAATTCTATTTACATTATATCTTACAAAATTAAGGTTATTCCTATTTATGTTATAGATCCATATAATATCATAAGTGAAAATATGCGCAATCTTGTTTTCAAGCTACCCTTCCATATTTGCCCATAGAGGGCAATCTTTAACGTTTTCCAACGCTTTCAGACGCTGATATAAAACTAAGTTTATACATGTGTTCAGATTTAACTTTCATTGGCCTACTAGCCTAATGGCACTTATTGCTTGGCTAGTCTCCCTTGAGTCTGGCCGCCGCAACCGAATTCGGTCTGGAGGGCATTATTTCTTAAAAACAAAATAGTTAATGTTAATAAAATCACTTAATTACGTTTGTCTGTTGACATTTAATTACATTAAAATCAATTGTAATTATGTATGATTCAGATCAAACTATTGACTAATGTCTATAAATAATAAAATTATTTAAAATTTTTGTTTACTTTTATAAAATATATCATTGCTAAATATGTTGTCTATGCTTTCATATCACTTGTATTAAATATCAAGCTTCGATTTTGGGATGAAAGAGATAGAAGATTAGCGCCCTAATGAGTGGAAACGGTAGAACGAGTTCTATAAATAGATTTGGTATTAATATATCATTATCTCATCCAGAGCCGCCCTAACATTATTTTCAATGACCGAATTTCTACAGCATTAATTTTACTATCATGTTTTTTTTTTTTGCCACGCCCAACTTTCACAAACCTACACACACCAACACAGCATTGTGAATTGATATACGTGCCTTTTTGGTTTCACTGTAGTAGACTAATATATTCAATAATAAAAGGCCGTTCATTTTATAAATTACGTATAAAATGTAAATAAGTTATGATATTATATTCATTTTACATATAAGTTGTACTATTTTTTATTCTTATTTATATAATATTATTATATAAAATATTAGATTTCGAAAGTAATTGGACTGTATAAATATACTAAAAAAACCGGCCAAGTGCGAGTCGGACTCGCGCACCGAGGGTTCCGAACAAATCCGTAGGTATATAAGTTTAAAATTATTGAAAATATTTTTATTATATGATGTAACTAAAAATTTATGCTTTTCGCAATTTTTCCTTTATTTGTGCTATAATACGTTGCTTCGTACCAAATTTTAAGATTCTGAGTTCACGGGAAGTACCCTGTAGGTTTTGATTCCCTTGCGAATGTCGATAATTTGCGGCATAAGCGGCTGTATCTTTTGATTGCGTTGGCTTAGAAGTTTGATTTTTTCACAGCTCCAAAGGACAGAAAACTTGAGTATTTGATATGAATTTCAGCTTGATATCTCCACGTGCTCCTGAAAAAAGGTTCTTGACAGACAGACAGACAGACAGACAGACGGACGGACGGACAACAAAGTGATCCTATAAGGATTCCGTTTTTTCCTTTTGAGGTACGGAACCCTAAAAATGATAAATATACATTAAACATTACGTTAACAACATTATTTCACCTATCTCCTTAGATTTTATTATACTAATGCTTGCTATTTACCAAGTGTTTAACATAAATAAAAATTAGTGACTTCTACATTGAAAGCAAGAGTGTATACAAGTCAGTCATACAGTCATGACAAATGAGGAAACGCAAGTTCGTTCAGCGCGCTATGGGGCTATGTTCGGAATTTCTCTAAGTGATAGACTTCGAAATGAAGATATTCGCAGTAGGACCTAAGTAACTAACATAGCACATCGGATCAGTAAGCTGATGTGGCAATGGGCCGGCCACATAGCTCGAAGAAGCGACCTCCGATGAATGAATACTAATACGATGAAATACGATGGGGAAGATACACAAAATGTCTTGAAGCAGATGTTCAGTTTCACAACCATTTTAAGTAGAGTAAGTGAATGAATGAGTAAATATAAAATACGTATTTGAAATGAAATATACTCATCAACAGTATTTTCTATTCAAACTAATTACAACATAGTGCGTTGTTTTAAATTTTTTTCGAGCTTACAGAGTCTGTCATATTCAATTAGAAATGAATTTGTTCGAAATTAACATTGACGAAAACAACATCGCAACTTATATCCCAAAATATGATGAGTACTTATGGAGTTTTGAGGAAATAGATGAACACTTCCATAAAATACATAAACGTACTGTTTAAATCACAAACCGTTCCGGAAACAATATTGTCACATTCGGTCTACAGCTTCGACAGCTGACTCTTTCTGGCAGACAGATCACTGGCAGACTTTGGAGCCTTGTTTCCGCTCGATCGCTTTTTTTTTTTTTTTTTTTTTTTATAGGAGAGGGGGCAAACGAGCATGCGGCTCACCTGATGGTAAGTGACTACCGCCGCCCATGAACAACCGCAACACCAGGGGAATTGCAGATGCGTTGCCGGCCTTTTAAAAAGG